ACCGAATCGAAACACCCACCTACCCAGACCAAACCCCGACCTACCCACCCCAAGCCCCCRCCTACCCACTCGAGGCACCCACATSCCGATTCCAAGCACCCACCGCCCCATTCCAAGCACCCACCGACCAACCCCCAGCCCCGATCGACCCACCCCAACGACCCACCGCCCCACTCCAAGCACCCACCGACCAACCCCCAGCCCCGATCGACCCACCCCAACGACCCACCGCCCCACTCCAAGCACCCACCGACCCACACCGAGCCCCCAACGACCCACCCCAACGACCCACCGCCCCAATCCAAGCACCGACCGACACAACCCGACGACCGACCTACATCCTCGAACGACCAACCGCCCCACTCCAAGCACCGACCATTCCATTCCAACCACCTACCCACCCACTCCCACCACCCGCCGAGCCAGCCACTCCAAGCACCTACAGTCCGACCCACTGCAAGCAGGTACTGACGTCAACACGAACGTAGGTGCTAAGAAGTGTGACCCACGCCAAGCACCCTCAGCAAAATCTATGTACAAAATGCAATCAGCAAAATCTATCTACAAAATGCAATCAGCAAAATCTATCTACAAAATCCAATCAGCAAAAGCTATCTACAAAATGCAGTATAATAGATGGACAGGAAAAAAGAGAAACATTATAAACCGAGTCGACATAGTCATACAAAAAAAAAAAACAAGCAAACCACACGCAACCTTTCCCACTCACCTCGGCAAGACACGATCGATCGTTGCTGCAGCAGAAATATCGAAATATCGAACAGCACCCCAGAAATATCAAAATATCGAACAGCACACCAAATATCGAACAGCACCCCACGATCGATCGTTGCTGCTGCGAATAACCGCTGTCACCCCACAAAGTTATGGCCGAAGTTCTCCTGTCTCTCTCTCTCTCTCTCTCTCTCTCTCTCTCTCTCTCTCTCTCTCTCTCTCTCTCTCTCTCTCTCTCTCTCTCACACACACACACACATTCATCCACCTCGCCAAACCCGCCACCTCGCCAAACTGAGCTAACCCGCCACTACAGAGCTAACCCGCCGGCTCGCCAAACCTCCAAAACGTCACGAAGAAGAACCCGAGAAGTCGAAAAATCCCCCAACGCACAACAAAACACCTGAGCACGAATAACCGACCGTCCCACCGCTCCGTCTATTATACGATCTCCCATCGTGCTTCGGTCCGATTGGTGGGCAGGTCCTTGGGTCGGGTCGGTTCGTAGGTGCTTGGCCCGGGTCAGCGCGTACTTGCTATGTTCTTTTTTTTTTTCTTTTTCTTAACTATACTCTTCTCTGAATTTTCCTCACACTACCTACCTACCACTACTCCTACTTACAGGCATACGGGGAAATCCGCAGCATAGCAGAGCCGTGTTTTAACGGCCTCACGAGCCTGCAGCATACCGGCCAGGGGACGGCTGGTAGCAGCAGGGATAAAGCGGACCAATCCCCCGTGCCTGGCCTCAGGCCCCTCCCGTACGAACATACGAGACTCTGCTTGATGCCGATCGGGGGATCCAGCGCTCTATCTCTTCGGTAGCAGGTGCGAAGTAAGGCCAGGAAGGTACATCACGCCAATGGGGTTATTATTATTATTATATATTATTATTATTATTATTATTATTATATATTATTATTATTATTATTATTAGATTATTATTATTACAGTCACAAAAAAGAAAAAAACAAAGGGCGTTGACGGCTTTGAATAAAGGTTCCTACACTTTTTCCCAAAAAAATAAAATAAAAGAGGGTTCAGAAAAAGAGGGTGCTTGGATCCGCACCTTGTTCGGACGACACCCCCGTATGCATTGCGAACGAACACCGTGCTGGATGTCGCGTGCTCGATGTCGTGGATATTATGCCAA